GCCGCCAGCAGCGGAGCGCACGCACTTAACCGCCAAGCCACGGGGCCGGCCCTTGAAATTTTTTTAAAAAGCCAGAAATCCTGGGATTTATGTGAAATCTCAATTTCATTTTTAAAATTTGACAATGGATTCAAAACCTTTAAAAACATTGTATCTATCAGATAAAATTATTCTGAGGGCCAGATTCAGCAGCCTACTGGTTTTTTAACTCCAGTGTAGTCAGGCCAGTCAAGTAAGACTCAAGTGGCAGAGGATAGCTTGAGGATCTAAGTGCCTACCTTCTCAAAGCAGCTACACAGATGCCTGGGCCCTGCCTCAGAGATTCGGTAGGTTTGCAGTGGAACCCTAGCATAGGTGTTTTTGAAAAGTTTCAGAAATGTTTCTGTTGCAGAACCAGAGCCTGGCAAAATGTTCTGCACATTTTAAGTGCTAAATAAGTGTAGAATAGGGGCTGGCCCGGTGGCTTAGTGGTTAAGTGCACGCGCTCCGCTACTGGCGGCGCGGGTTCAGATCCTGGGTGCACACCGACGCACCGCTTCTCCGGCCATGCTGAGGCCAGGTCCCACATACAGCAACTAGAAGGATGTACAACTATGATGTACACTATCTACTGGGGCTTTGAGGGGGGGGAAAAAAAGGAGGAGGATTGGCAATAGATGTTAGCTCAGGGCTGATATTCCACACATAAAAAAAATAAATAAATAAGTGTAGAATAATGAGTTTCACTGCTGTCAAATGAATTTTAAATGAATAAGCAATTTATAAGTTGCAACTGAGTTAAGCACTGTTTAACTACAGGCGATGAAAAGGAAGAGAGCTTTGTTTTTTTGGTGGGAGAATAAAAAGTAAAATGTAGAAACAGCAATCACATCCCTTTGCCTTAATCTCTGGTTTTACTGTGGCATTCTTATGATCATTGGTCTTCTGATCGGGGCATTCTTCCTCAAGTTGGTTGTAGCCAGCAACAGAAATAAAAGTGAATAACCCCTCTTAGAACAAGATCTGACTGTGCCGAGTGCCCATTTTCAGGTGCTTGGCTTATCCGGGAGTTGAAATTGGCCGAGAGCAAGCAAGATGGGTACCATACTGCCCCAGCCTAGGATTAATGCTAAATTAAAAGCCTTAATGCATTTCTCTCTTCTCTTGCACCCTAGCTTCTGTCCCTCAGAGCCAGCCTAGCTTCTCATTTCCTCTCTCCTGAGGCTCTGACATCAGAAAATAAGCAAGGAATTTACTATTCTTTAGCTCATTTACCTTGATGGCCCTGTTATAGGAATGAGGATCTACTTTATCTTAATAAAATAAAATTTGACAAAACTAGAGAAATCAAAACATTTCTCTGGCCAGATTCAAAATTATCTTTGGTACATTTTAAATCAGCGTGTTTAAACAAATCAATGTGGGCTGTGGTTCAGTTTTTCAAGGGAAGGAAAGCAGACCATATTCTGTCAAGGAAACTCCCTGTACGTACGTGGACTGCTTCCTGCTTTGCCTTTTTCATCCCAAGCAAGATTAATTCATTACAAACAGAACTTTACTAGCCTTTGCATCACTCAGCTACTAGCAGAGAGAAGAGAAGGAAAAATTCCAATTACTGTGGATTTTCCCAAAAACCCCCTCCCTCAGCACACATACATAAGCACACATCTGTTCTTCTGTGTTCTCTCACTCACATCCTCAGACTTGCCCTTCCTCTTCTCCCCTTCTCTGTGTCCTTCACTGCTCTGTGTGTCCCTTGACCCCTTTTTCAAGTCAGGCCTTTAGAAAAGCTTTTAAGGCTACGTGAGTCACTGCCAGTCACTTAGAATGTCCCTATTGGCACTGTGTGTTTGGTGGGAAGAAAGCCTAGAGCTTCAGTGGTAGTTCTTGTGTGTATGGAAGTCGGAGGTAGAGGGTGGGGGAAGAAGCGAGCAGGCTCTAAAGGGTAGTAGGGATATGTTCTAAATATCTCAATTTGAAATTTGAATTAATTTTCCCATAGGAACTTTTATTATAAGTGGTTATTAGATTCTGGAGTACTCTGAGTGCTGATAGTACTATTTTTCTCTGTGAGAAAATATGTTCCAAGTACCAAATAACTAACCTGAGTACGTTTACAGAACTTAACCCATTAGTAAGTTGTAAAAATTCCCTGTGCAGAAGATCTTGTGGTTGTCTTTTGTAGTGATGCATAGTAGCAACCAGTTAAGAGCCCTCAGACAAACATTTCCTTTGTCATTTTTTAACAATGAACAAAGGTAACTGAACAGAGATATTCTAGGGCACTTATTCTTGTGCAGATATAATTGGCATTTTGTGAATGGTAAAATACTAAAAGAAATATTTGAAGCTGATGCTATTAATTCCATAGCAAGATATTCATTCTTAATGAATTTTTTTAAGGATTGAACAATAACTCTTTGTTGTTTTTTTTTAATTTTTAAAATTAGATTTATTGGGGTATAATTTGTATATAATAAAATTCACCACATGTAAGTAGTCATGAAACCACCACCACAGTCAAGACATAGAACATTTCCTTCACTCTAAAAACTTTCCTTTTGCCCCTTTGCAGTCAGTCCCCTCTCTCCAGCCCCTGGCAACCGCTGATCTCTTTTCTGTCCCCATAGTTTTCCCTTTTCCAAAATGTCATATAAAATAGAGTCATACAGTATATAGTCTAACTGTTTTGGGTTAGACTATATACTGTATGTCTAACTTGTTTTGGGTGTAACTTCTTTCAGTTAGACTAAAGATTTTGTGATCCACCCGTGTTGTTGCATGAATCAGTAATTGGTTCCTTTTTATTGCTGTGTAGCACTCCATTGTATGGATATACCACAATTTGTTTATTCATTCACCAGTTGATGGACATTTGAGTTGTTTCTAGTTTCGGCTATTATGAATAAAGCTGCTGTGAACATTTGCATGCAGATCTTTGTATGGACGTTACTAGGATAAATATTTAAATAAATATTAGTAATAGGATTGCTGAGTGTATAGTAAGTGTATGTTTACCTTTTTAAGAAACGACCAAACTGTTTCTAAAGAACTGTTTGGTTTTACATTCCCACCAGCAGTGTATGAAAGTTACAGTTGCTCCATATCCCCATTAGCACTTGGTATTGTCAGTCTTTTTAAATTTTTTGCCATTCTAGTGGATGTGTAGTGGTATCTTATTGTGGTTTTTAATTTACATTTCCCTGATAACTAGCAATGCTGAGCATCTGTTCATGTGCTTATTTTGCCATCCATATTTCCACTTTAATGAAATTTCTTTTCAAATCTTGCCCATTTAAGCAATTAGGTTGTCTTATTATTGAGGTATAAGAACTATCCTTTATCAGATACATGTTCTGTATCTGTTCTGTAAATATTTTCTTCCAGTATGTGGCTTGTCTTTTCATTCTCTTCACAGTATCTTTTGAAGAGCAGAAGTTTTTAATTTTGGTGGAGTTCAACTCATCACTTTTTTATTTTATGGTTTGTGCTTTGTGGGTTTTATGTAAGAATTCTTTGCATAACCCAGGCTCATAATGATTTCCTCTATATTTTCTTTTATATGGTTTATAATTTTAGCTCTTACATTTAGGTCTATGGTTCATTTGGGGTTAATTTTTGTATGTGGTGCAAATTAAGGATTGAGTTTCTTTTTTTTTTTTTTTTGCTTATGGGATATCCAGTTGTTCCAGAGTCGTTTGTTAAAAAGAGTATCCTTTCACGTTGAGTTATCTTGGCCCCTTTGTTAGATCATTGATTTGAGACGTATCTTCTTTCCTAATATAAGCATTTAATGTTATAAATGTTCCTTGAAGCACTGCATTAGCTGCATCCCACAGATTGTACTTTCATTTTCATTCAGTTCAAGATATTTTTCTAAATCACTTCTGATTTCTTCTTTCACCCATGGGTTATTTATAAGTGTGTTGTTTAATTTCCAAATATTTTAGGAATTTTCTAGATATTTTTCTTATTGATTTCTAATTTAATTCCATTGTGGTCAGAGTAGAATTTCAGTCATTTTAAGTTTGTTGAGATTTATTTTATGGCCCTGAATATTCTTAGTTAACTCAATTTAAAAAAAAAAAAAAGTTTCTTTTTCATTATTCTATATCTAAAAGTGGCAGTTTACCAAACTACTGTTTTATATGTTATTTTTATTTTTAAAAAGGTAATGAGTTATGGGGGGCCAGCCTGGTGGCATAGAAGTTAAGTTCTTGTGCTCTGCTTCGGTGGCCTGGGGTTCGCAGGTTCAGATCCTGGGCGCGGACCTACACACTGCTTATCAAGCCATGCTGTGGCTGCGGGGTCCCATGTAAAGTAAAGGAATATGGGCATGGATGTTAGCCCAGGGCCAATCTTCCTCAGCAAAAAAAGAGGAGGATTGGCAACAGATGTTAGCTCAGGGCTCACCTTCCTTAAAAAAAAAAAAAAAGATAATGAGTTACAACTGTACTTTACCTAATTGTTAAGAATGATTGTTATTTTACTGTGTAAATAATTTTACTGTGTAATACCGTGTTGATATTTGCTATTTTTGCCTTATAGCCACAAATTTGTAAGCTGTTCTTCCTTTTTTAATGCTTTCTGTAGGTCTAAGATCTGGCAAACTTGGTGAACAGTGTGAAGCAGTTGTTCGCTTTCCCAGGCTCTTTCAAAAGTATCCCTTCCCTATTCTCATCAATTCTGCGTTCCTAAAGTTAGCTGATGTTTTCAGAGTTGGGTAAGTCTTTATAAAGCCTGTGTCCTTAAGCACTTGGTCCATATTTCTTTGTTTTATGTTATAGTCTTTATTCTTTTTGCCTTTTAGGACTTCCACATAGTTACCATTTTAGTGGATGCACATGGCAGTTTGCAACACTTTTTCGTGTCAAATTTAATGGCATTTTAAGCAAAAATGAAGAGTATAAGTCAGTACTTATTTTTGGGGGGACCAGGATAAATCAAATTAACACAACCTTGATATATTATTGTATATTTTGGAAATATCTGTGGCTTTGTGCAGATTGTTTTGAGAAGTTTCTGATTTAATAGCTTATTTTGTGACATGAGATTGCATGTTACTGTGAATTGCCTGAAATATGTAAGCACTGAATAAACACCTATTTCTTTTTTTCTCCCCACCAGTCCCTCTCCCACTACTTTCCACCATTCTTCATGCACTCATACACACACCAAATCAGACTTGAAGGAGAAAAGGTGTTGTAGACTTAGCTCGAGAGAGGAGGAAGCCGTCTGACCTCCTCGCCTTGATTATAATACGACTGAGGAGGTTTAGTTCAGCTCCTGGGCTTCTCTTTCTGTCACTGCTGTTTTGGTGTCTTGCGGCAGGACTGCAGGCATTGTTAACTGCTTATGCTTAGTACTCACCTCAAGTATAGACTTTCACTCTTTTAGTGATAAGACAAATAATATTAAGATTGCAAAACATTGGCCTGTTGCTAAAATTTAATATTGCTAGTGTTGCTTTGATTCCTAATTGAATATTACTTTCCTAAAGTCGTCTAATTGATTTTATCTCTGGTTTTTCATAGAAACAATTTTCTGAGGCTCTGTGTTCTCAAAGTTACTCAACAAAGTGAGAAGCATTTGGAGAAGATTCTAAATGTGGATGAATTTGTGAAGAGAATTTTCTCTGTGATTCATAGTAATGATCCTGTAGCAAGAGCCATCACACTCCGGTATATTCTGTTGCTATAATGAGTTGCTATGAAATTGTTTGAGTTGTAATTATGTACCTAAAAAGGCAATGTATTGACTTTTTTTATTTTGAATATTAAGAATTTATTTTTGTTTTTTTCAACTAAGACTCAATGCAAAAATATAGTAACCATGCCAATCTGTAAATGCTTTGCACTTATCATCTGTGATAATGTTTTGGTTGTAAATTGTTGCCTAGCTTGTGTTTGAAACATTCCTTTTTGTAGGTGGGTGTTCTGATCAGATACCTCGGATCTGAATATAGCTTAGCCTCACTTCATTTTGAACTTTTACCTTTCTGACCTTGTTGTTATTGTTTCATGTCACTTTTCTGTATTCATCCTTGGTTATGTGTTCATTTTTGTATGCGATAATTATATTTGAACTCCTTGGGGAATGCCAGATATAACCATTGTAGTTTCTTCAGCCTTTCCTTTTCTTTCTTGGCATTAGAAAAAATTTTGTTAGAATTTCATTTTGTAAGCCTTATATCCAGCTTGAACCATATTGTCTTTTTAGGTTTGCTGTCTATGGAATCATATGTATAGTTTTTGAGTTTGTGAAATTCACTTTCCTAAATTATAGGGCTCATTTCCGACTTGCCCTGCCCAAACAGTCCTCTTTTTTTTTTTTTTTTTTGTGAGGAAGATCAGCCCTGAACTAACATCTATGCCAATCCTCTTCTTTTTGCTAAGGAAGACTGGCCCTGAGCTAACATCTATTGCCAGTCCTCCTCCCTTTTTTTTTCCACTTTTTTTCCCCAAAGCCCCAGTAGATAGTTGTATGTCATAGTTGCACATCCTTCTAGTTGCTATATGCGGGACGCCGCCTCAGCATGGCTGGACAAGTGATGCGTCGGTGTGCGCCCGGGATCCGAACCTGGGCCGCCAGCAGCAGAGTGTGCACACTTAACTGTTAAGCCACGGGGCCGGCCCCCAAAAGTCCTCTTTTTAACCATTAAGTCAAGGATGTCTGTTCTTCTCTAAGTTTCCATTTTTTTGACATCAGGAACTAGTTCTTCCCTCTTGTTCAGAATTAACTGCTTTTTGTCATTTCTCTGCCTTTTGAGTGATTAAATTGTGAGCCGTGTTGTATTTTAGTCAGTTAATTGGCTTTATCTTTTAAAAACTATATGTAATAGAACAGAATTTAATTTAAGGTGTTCTTACCCTTTGATTCAGCACATTCACTTATAGGAATTTTTTCTATAAATCATTTTTATTTATTATTATTATTTTTTATCCTTTTTTTTTTTTTTTTGATGAGATCAGCCCTGTGCTAACATCTGCCAATCCTCCTCTTTTTTTTTGCTGAGGAAGACTGGCCCTGGGCTAACATCCATGCCCATCTTCCTCCACTTTATGTGGGACGCCACCACAGCATGGCTTGCCAAGCAGTGCATCGGTACGCACCAGGGATCCGAACCAGCGAACCCTGGGCCGCCACATCAGAGCGCGAGCACTTAACCGCTTGCGCCACCGGGCTGGCCCCCTATCAATTATTTTTAAAAGTTGATGAATATATGTATACAGATGATCATAGTGTCATTTTTGTAAAAAGTGAAAAATTGGGGAAAAATCATGTACCAGTATAGGAATAGTTAATTTATGGACTACTGTATAACTTTTAAAGAATGAAGTAAGTCTGTGTATTAACATGGAAAGAGATATTAAGTTAAAAAAAACCAGTAGTCAAGTGATATCCATTTTATTAAATCATTTTTGTCAGTAACACTAATATATGTGTTTGTATAGGCTCAGAAAAAATCTGGAGGAATATATACTGTTAACAGTGATTATTTTTGGCAGAGGTCATTGGGTTATAGTTGACAAGGAGACTTTTCCATGTAGTTTTGTAATGTTTGAATTGTCTTCCACAAGCATAGGTTATTTTTTGATCAGAAGACAACAATAAAAAGAAATAATAGAATTTAACCAGTGGAATGAATTTTATAAATAATTTAGAGCTAGTTTAAATATTTGAAAAAATGTAGATTAATATTTGAATATGCCATTCATTTTGCATGCTTGCCCTTTCCTGAGTCGTGGCAACTGAGCTTTTTCTCAATTCTTCCTATTGGAACTATTGCTGTCAATAAAACCAGAGATTTCTAGAAAGCTTCCAGAAAGAAAAGATTGATTAATTGATAATGATCACTTTAAAGGGAAAAAAATCAGATTCAAATTGTATTTTTCAATAGTAACACTTGATGCAAAAAGTATTAAAGGAAAAGAAATTTGAGCTGAGAATTTTATAGAGTCCAATTGCCTTTTAAAACATAGTGTAATAAAAGGATTCTCAAATACACAAGGCCTTAAATAGTTTGCCAAACAGCAACCTATTTTGAAAACATTCTTGGAGTAGGTACCCAATTAGGAAGAGAAAAAAGATTGGAAGATATGGGAGTAAGAGGTGATCACATAGTTCTATAAAGTTCACAGATCCGTAAAGTAAATATCAAAGGCCAAAAATAGCAGGTGTATTTATAACAACTCAAAACTAAAATTGTAGAGAATAGCAACACAGTATGAGAGTATCAAACCCCTTTGACAAGATTATAACATTTTTGAATAGCCTTAGAAATTTTTTCATGATTTCATAATTTTTGCATAAGAAAATGACTTAAAGTAAAAAAGTATTTTTTAATTTAGTATATTTAACATTATAAAGTATTTAAAATGCAATCTTGTAAAAAGTATAAGGAAGACTTTAATTTTGCCATTAAACAAGTGACAAACACTGTATCATTTACTACTTTAAATTAATTATGTGAGAAAAAGCATGATTTGTCTTTAGAAGTTTTTAAATGGCATGTTTGGCTTGGGGCTAAATATGTTAAAATGTAGGTTAAAATTTTTTTCCAACATTTTGAAACATTATTCTAACATAATTCCAACATTATGAAAAAATTTTAACAATAGAGCAAAGTTGAAAGAATTTTCAGTAAACACTTGAATGCCCACCACTAAATTCTACTATTGATCTTTTATTAAACTTAAGTTTATCACATATCTGTCCATCCCTCTATCCATTCATCAATCTTATTTTTTTTAATGCCTTTCATAGTAAATTGCAGACAGTACACTTCCCCTTAAATACTTTAGCTTGTATATCATTAGGTAGAGTTCAGTTTGTTTATAGGGTTGTTTACAGGATTTTTTAATATCAAATTTACTTACATTGAAATGCACAAATCTTATGTGTACATTTACGGAGTATTGACAAGTGCCTCCAGTAACCCCAGCCTCTATCAAGATATAGAACTTACCATCACTCCAGAAAGTTCCCTTATGCCCCTTCCTAGTGAGTTCCCTCATCCACCTCCCCAGAGACCACCATTGTTCTGATTTTTTCCCATCAACAATAAGTTTTTTTGTTTTCAAACTTCATATAAGTGGAATCATACAGTAGGTATCCTTTTGTGTAAGGCTTCTTTCACTCCGTGTTTTTGATATTAATCTCTTTTGTATGTCAGTAATTCAGTCCTTTTTATTGATGAGTAGTTTTCCATTGTGTGACTATAACAGTTTATTTGTTCTTTTATTGGTGAACACCTAGGCTGTTTCTAATTTTGGGCTATTATAAATAATGCTGCTGGGAACACTTTTGTACAAGACTTCTTGTGAACATACTTTCTTTTCTGGCAAATATATGCCTAAGAATGAAATTGGTGAATCATAGGGTAGGTATATATTTAGTTTTGTAAGAAACTGATGGACCTTTTTCCAAATTGGTTTTAACCATTTTATATTCCCACCAACAATGTGTGAGAGTTCTGGTTGCGTCATACCTTTGCCAACCTTCAGTGTTGTCAGTCTTTTAAATTTTAGCCATTCTAATGGGTGTATAGGGGTTTTCATGAGCATTTCCCTGATTAGTAATAATGTTGAGCACTTTTTCATGTGCCTTTTGACCGTTCTTGTATCTTTTGGGAAGTGTCTGTTAATCTTTTGCCCATTTTCTTTCATTAGATTGTTTAGATTTTATTATGTTATTTGTCTTTTTATTATAGAGTTATAGGAGTTCTTTATATATTCTGGATACCAGTCCTTTGTCAGATAAATGTTTTACAAATCATATTTTAAAATAGACAAAAACTTCTTTCAGGGCCTGAAAGCCATGAACGTAATTCCTACCATTTTTATGCTCTTCATTAAGTGATATTTCAGTATCATCGTTTCTTATGTTTTCTGTCTGTAACTATAAATTAAATAATATATGCCTCAGAATAAAACCAGTTTCAAAAAGTGTGTCACTGTCAAAACCACCCCAGATGCTGGCGGTGTGCAAGAAACCAGGTGACTGAGCTGTGAGTGTGCTTCTGCTACAGCCACCAGCCACTGTACACGTGCTTTCAGCTTATACTGCTACGAGATCTTCCAGATGTTCTGCTTTAAAGGGGGAAAATAAGTAATTGCTTTAGTAATTAAAAGAAAATTATGTTAGCTTTTTGAAACTCCATTTGGGAAGCAGTGGCCTAGTCAACTGAAGAGAAGTTCAGCCGGGATGTATAGGAAGAATTGTTCCAGTCCTAACTCACATTCTAATGAGCTGACATGTAATAAATCACTTTTCTTGATGTTACACGAGAAAACTAATACCTGCCTTAACAGATTCACCTATTTCCTATACGGTAAAATGCAAAAATCTGCAAATAAAAGGTTTTAAAATCACCATAGAAATGTAAAGAACCTGGCTATTAAAATGCAACTTTGAAAAGGTATTGGGCATATAAGTGATTGTATTTTCATTCCTTCTATAGTGAAATATTTGACTACAATACTGTTTTCTGTAAAGAAAAGATATGATACAGAAAAGATCTAAATGTTTATAGGAATATGATTTTTCATTGAGGTGTATTATAGTAGCACTAAGAAAAAACAAGTCTGTTAAGAAGGAAAACAAGGTCTACAGAGAAAAGATGGGGCTGATAAATGATAGATCAACATTAAGTATGTCTTTCATTAACGTTTTAAGTATTCAATGAATTAAGTATTCATTGAGTAGAAAGTTTGGTATAGTATGTTTTAAGGAAGATAGATTCAAGTGGGAACTCTGACCTTAAGGAACTTGCTTTCTAGAAGAATGTATTAATAAGATTCAACACATGAAGAAAAGCCAAAGGTGATGCCTTTCAAACACTAAGCAGTTTTAGAGTCAGAATAATTTAAAGAGGAGAGAGGATAGGGAATAGAAAATATTTTAACGATGTTTCACTTTTTACCTGTTGCTTTAGACTTATAAATTAAACAACAAATGGAAGAAGAAGCTAGAAGATATTCATGGTATTTGAAATGTACTGCTATGAATTATTTATAATATTACCAGAAATATTTTGAGAAAGTGGTGACCAATAGGATTATGCTTTTTTGCCCGTTTATATTACATAGTAACAAACTATTAATCAAGATGTGTCAATATTAGCCTAGTCTAATCTTTTCTTGTATAAATATTAAAAGCCATTTGTTATTTTTTTTTGAAAAATAACTCTTCTAAGTAGTTTCAAAACTTTCTTTTCAAATTGAAGATAAATGACATATTTAGCCCATTTTAGCGTCTTCTTTATAAGAACTCTAATTCTTACGTCCAGTTGATTATATCTCCATAAGATAATTAGGTGAAGACATGTCAAACTGGGAGATTACTTAGGACATTACTTTGAGGAAGGTTGTCATTGTAGGAACTCTGTTTTGTTTATTGCAATGTTTTGCAGCCTTCCAAAATGCATGCCTTTCTGAAGAAAAGATTTTTCAAGCTTTACTTTCTGTAGTTTATATTACAAACAATAGATTTTTTCCTTTTCCAAATTTGTAATTTTATTATAAAGTAAACTAAACTCTACCTTCCTCACCCTTGCAGATTCTGATATGAGCCCCAGGGGGCGTCCTCTACCTCTGTTCTTGTGATGTTGAGGAGAGATTTGAAAATCATGGTACCAATATTTACTAATGTGGAAAAAAAGACTGAGAAGTCTGACTTTTTTTACTTTGAGAATCTGCTTAATAGCAAAATGTTAGACTCTTAATGCTTTGATAAAATGAATTTCTTTATACAACATTGGAGAATTGATATTTTGGTGCTTTAATAATTCAAAAGTTTCTTCTCTGGTCTCTAGTACCTGGGATGTACTTCAAGGTGATTTTTTAAAAATTTTGCTTGTGTTAGATAAGTTAGTTTTTCTGACATATTGAAGTATGGAAAAGTGTTTAGAATTTGAGTCACTGCTTGATTCCTAAAGTTGGTGCTTTATTAACCTGAGATTTATGTTATTACCTGTAGACTTTAGTTTTGGTAATCTAGCTTTGCTTTGCTTCTTCCTTTCTTCACCTTGGCTTATTATATTTCCATTCTTCTTGGGTTTCTCTATTTCTGTAGGATGTTGGGAAGTCTGGCCTCAATAATTCCCGAGAGGAAGAATGCTCATCATAGTATTCGTCAGAGTCTGGATTCACATGATAATGTAGAAGTTGAAGCTGCTGTTTTTGCTGCTGCAAACTTCTCTGCACAGTCAAAGTAAGCATAGACCTTTTAATAATTTGGTGTCCCAAGAAGAGATTTTTAAGGAATAATTAATTCATCAGTATATGTTAAACACTAAGGGATACAGAAAAATGTAAATGGCAGGGTGTATTTTCTAAGAGAGTTTACATCATGTTGGGGAAGCAAAACTTAAGTACATAAAACAGAAAAGTTAAGTACAAATGTTGGCATTAACTGTAAATGAAATAAAGAGTTTCCCGAAGGATGGAATCAGTGTAGTTTAGAATAGTTGGGGAAGGCCTCACTGGGGAGCAGAACAGCTTTGTCCACTGGAGAGTCTTCCCCAAACATATACAGCCCTAATACTGAATTGCTGCTTTCTTATTGTCTTCTCAAGTTTAGCTTTTTGGCGTTAGAGCCTTGCACGGTTTGACAGGACGGTAACTTGAGTTGAAACCAATTTTAACCTATTTGGGATGTCATATCCTACACTATTATCTTACAGAACAGTATTTTTTTTTTGGATGAAATGTTGACCATGGTTTTATTACTGAGTTTGACTTGCTTGATTACCATCTCTAAAAATATATTTTATCCCCTTTATTGACTGATATCAAAAGTAGCATTGCTTTCTGGAGGGCATTTTTTAAATATGTGCATCCCTTTGACCTAGAAAATCCACTTCTAAGAATTTATCTTAAGGAAACAGCAGCGTGTACTGGTATTTATTTGCAAGTATGCTAGTTGTAGTGTTATAATAAAAAAAATTAGTAGCAACCTAAATTCCAACCAATGTGCTTAGATAAATATGATCGTACAATGAAATACTATATCAGCTTTTAACAAAAATATTCTAGGAATATATTTGGAAACAGGTCACATAATAGCTTATATGATATTACAGATTTATTGAAAAAACAAATATTTGTATTTATGGAATAGAAAAAAGACCAGAAGGATATATATCAAAATGTTGTCTCTGAATGGTAAGAGATCATCTTATTTTTATTCTCTTTTTTATAAATTTCTGTATATCCTGCCAGGAGCAAGTTTTGGTTTTATAATGAGATGAATAATGTATTATTTTTTAAATAAAAAATAGCATTTCCATTAAGAGCCTCTGCTAAATTTAGATAAACCTTGAAATAGTTTATCACCACCTGTCTTTCTTCATATTTTAATTACATGCATATTCATCTCTTTAGCTGCTCTTATCAGACTTTCAGAATTCCAGGATTACTCATTGGAAAAGGAGAGTAGAGAATAGAAAGCATATAATTTTTAACTTGCTGCTCAAAGTTGGTAGATGTGGCAGTAATTAAAGAAGAGGAATATCTGAGTAAATACAATTCCTATTTGTGCTTTTAAAAATTGGCATTTTTTTCTTATTGAGAGTCATTGGTTGAGAGAACTTTTTAAAAATTACTTTTATTGGATAGGAGTTAAACTTAGTGAATGTTTATCATCTGATTACCACTGTCAAGGTATCAGTATTGTATAATCTGTCAGATTAAATATGTACTTCCAGTAGCTCCAAAAATAGTTTTCTAAATTTAGGTGGTAAATTTGTAATTTGATGATTAGATTTTATTTATGAGAATCATTTTTGGTTCAGTTTTTCTCTTATGTTGTTATCAGAAGCTAATTTTATCAGCTGTGGAATTTCTGATCTGTTTTAGAAAAGATTAAGACTAAGTAACATAGAAACAACGTGATTCTTCATTTATAAAATTCATAACCAATAAACATTTAAATTAACAGCCTATGTAGAAGCAGTTTTTAACATGCCAGGCCTCAATATGATATATTTGTCATTTGGGATATTTAAAAATACCAAATTAATGTAATAGGAAAGTCTGAGGAGCTATCTAAATGTATCAGTGTGAAATTAAAGAAATATATCTTTTTTGAGATTAGCATTTACCTCTTTCCCCATCAATGATGACCTGATTTGGGATCAAATATCTTAACCAATACTGATAGATTTTTGTCTTAATATCTCTATTTATCAATTTTAGATCTTAAACAAATTAGAGTAACTGGCCAAATAAGACCTTGTGAATTTATTTAATCCTCTTTCCCCGTCTGCTACCATAACCACATCTACCTTGTTTTAAAAAAGGTTAAAATTTTGTATTTTTAAAGAGCTAGTCCCTGGGTCACAAAGCAGGAGTTGCAAACCCAAATGTCTTCAGGGACAGGGAAGTATTGTCAATGAAAAAGGTGTCCTCTAGCGGCAATTGTGGTGAACTCACCATCTAAAAGGGGTATCTGCCCCTTAGCACCAGCCGATTGTGACAGTGCAGAAGTGTATGCCCAGTGTTGTCAGATCTGATTTTTTGTGGGGAGGAGGTGGGGAGTGGCTGGAAAATCAGATTATTCTGTTTAGTCTCACCATATGAGACTACATATTCTTAACATATATTCTTAATGTTGACATTTAGAGTTTTTAAAAATATTATTAGACAAAAAAAAAAAGAAAACTGCAGGCTTCTAATTTTCGGTTTATTGACCCTAAAAGCCTGTAACAGATTTTTAAATTTTGAGTTGTTATAAAAGTTGTTGTTTAGTTAATGAAGCAATATTTATTGAATATCCATCACATCCAGACACTATTCTAAGCACCAGGAATACAGGGTGGAAAAAATTAAGGCCCTATTGTTATGTAAACAGAAAATACTTTCAGATGCTTGTTAATGTTATGAAAAAACAAAGCAATTTTGTGATAAAAAAATAAGACAATTTTGTCATTGTGATAATGACCAAGTGAGCTGCTTTAGGTAGAGTGATCAGGGAAGGCCTCTCTGAAGAGGTGACATTTGAGCTGAAACAGTGATGAAGCAGCAGCAGCAGTCTAGAGGAAGATTATTCCAAGCAGAACGAGTAAGTACAAGAGTGCTCTGAAATGCAAACAAGTCATCTATATGGACCTGATATACCTCTTGCCTTAGAGCTGAAAGACATTTGTAACTTACTTTTTCCTATCGAATGTGAGGCTGATAGCTTAGAGCAGTATTTTCAAACTGTTTGGGGTCAGAATCCCTTTACACTCTTCAAGCATTATTGAGGTCTTCAAAGAGCTTTTTTGTTTATGTGGATTATATGTTATTTTACTATATTAGAAATTAAGATGGCTAAATATTTAAAATATTTATTTATTCATTTTTAAAATAACAAATCCCTAATACGTTAACATAAAAATATCTTTATGAAAGTAATTATTTTCCAAAACAATTTTGTGAGAAGAGCAGTATTGTTTTACATTTTTGCAAATGTCTTGAATGTCTGGCTAGATTCTCATATCTGTTTCTGTGCTCAGCATTTGTGTTGCAATATGTTATTTTGGTTAATGAAGAAAATCCAGCCTCACACAGCTATATAGTTGGAAAAGAGAGGAGTATTTTTAAAGGCTTAATAGGTAGTTAATGGGTATTTGTCTTTGATACTGTACCAAAACTAGACAAGCGGTGGTTTCTAAAAGGTTAATTGCAGTATGGACTCTCAAACCATATCACTGAACTTGTACTATGTTATATTGAAATTCATTGGAATCTCTTACCCATGTGTGGTTTTATAACTTATGTGTTGGTGTTTTGGAAAATATTGGTTCACTGTGTTCTTCAGGTCTTCCAAATGTTGACCCATTTCATTGTATAGTATCAAAGGATCACATTTGTTACTATCACCACCAGTCTCATCAAGAAAAGTCTTTAAAAATTAAGCTGCCAAGCTCATGATGACAGATACAAATTTTTGAAATTCTAATCTTTGCTTAGAAGCTCAGATTGGCAAAAAAATTTTCCCAGTTTTGGGAAGTTACAAGCTTACTTTATTCTTTTGAGAAAATGTCTGCCAAATAGCCAAATCTGAATAACCATGGAGTTTCATGAAAAAATGACTAGTTCATCTCATAACTCAGATGATTGTGTGGAACTTTTCCTGGAGACAACCACTGTGTACTTAATATGTGCTTTGCGTTTTGTCAGAGAATATTAAAAAGACAGTTACTCAAGGGTTGAAATTTAATATCATTAGTAATTTTCACTGTTCTATCAAGGGCGTTTGTAAGTGCAACTGGCTTTCTTTTTTTCTTTTTTAATGTGAGTGCACAGTGGTGAAGAATACAATGACTGCTAGTGCAGTTTGGTGACACTGCCTTGATTCTTGCTAAGGTGCCAGCAGTTCTACTCATCTTGGCTTTGGCACCAGAGGTGAAGATATCAACACCATTGTTCCAGGATAAACCAGGAGATGAAAAAAAACATTACTCACTTTGAAAATTTCAGCACAAATAGTGTTTGGTGCCAAGAAGTCGCATAAAAGAAGATGTTCTATGATTAGATGGTGCTGATACCAGACAATTACAGGCAAAAAAACACATCTAGCCATGTCTGTAGATTGGTTCATTTGTAAGGCAGAAATAAAGTCTGCAGATGAGCTATTAACTCAGTCTTCATGTTTGCAGCTAAATCTTTTATTTGATAAGTTACTCTAATGGTGAAAAGTGGCAGTGCCTTGATTTCTTTTACTGACTTTTCATTCAACAGATATTCGTCGTTGTCAGTGGCACAAGTCTCAACTGTTACATGCACTCCTTGAGGCAACGCATTGCGATAACTTATTATTATTTCTAGTTTAAAAAGCTGTAGTAAACAATTTTTTGCTTTTAAAGAGCACATCACATCTACATTTAAAATACTCAGTCTTTTTTTTTTTTTTAATTCTAATTTATTAGTCTCAAAGTGAAACTGCAGTTTAACTGGTACTGTAATACTTTTTGGAATGTTTTGTCTCTTAAGGCACAAGTTAAATTATTAATGCCTATAAAGCCAAACGATAGTTTTAGCCATATTTTTGTTTTTCTTATTTACAGTTTTACCATTTTCTTAAGAATAAATTCCTCCCTTCCATGAGTTAGAAAACTGTGATATGTCATCCTTTTCAGCATCTTTAAACCTACACGGTACAGCTGTGGGTTGAGAAAATGGATCTTCTAATCTCTTTTTCAAGCCAGTGATTCATTCTGAAGTATAAGAAAAATACTTTGCAAATAAACTTTATTTTGGAATAAAATAGTGTTAAATCCTAAAACAAAAGCAATTTTAGAAAAATCTTTCAAAATCTTATTACAAAGTATACTTCCTGATAGATTTCTGCATAAGTACAAGGAAAACCTCAGGATTTCAAAACATTGATGTATTGGATGATAATGAGGTTACAAAGGTTATAATAGATATAGTCAAAAATAGTAAGAGCACAGGAGAAGAAATGAGAACAAACTGTTAATCTCAGAAAACATTTATACACTAAACCTACTACCTTAGAAAATTCAAGAAAACACAAGAATACACAATCACATTTCCATTAGCTGTGAAGAGATCATATATCGTGTAGCCTCTGGAAGACTCCACTTGTGAGAGAATGAAATTAAAAATGGCAAATGATTTCTTAATGGCAGGAAATGTTTTATGTAGACATCCATTGAACTGCAGAGGGGAAGTATTTCATGTCTTATGTATCATTTATCATGGCTAAATGAAACAAGTTTGATCATATTATCTTTCCTTACGTGTTATATAATGTTTTATAACAAATATTCATGTTATTAATAACTTTTGCAGCAATTAGTGATATTTCTGTTGCAACAGAATCAAAAACAGCACCTTGGAAAATAGTTTACACGTATATAATATAAAAAAATGTGGGTAACTTGAAATAGTTTGGCTTTTAGTAAGATTCTACTCGTATTTCCTACTGCATTTCTACTGCTTCATACTTACTCTATTTTTCTAAAATTCAGAATATTCGCAATATATTTTATTGATTATGTAGTCAGTTGTGTGTTAAAAGCGTTTCTTAATTAAAAGTATATCATAAAATATTGTAGATGGAGATAGTGACCTTAAATCTTTCAGACAGTATCGCTCAGTGATGCCAGTTGCAACAGCACTTGTAAATCAGAGCACCTTTCCTTGAATACCCTGTGAGAACAGTGTTGGCATAAGCCCATTGCTGATTGGAGTTTGGACATTTGCGTTTCTTACACCACCCCCAGCACCTGACCGCTGGAATATTAGTTACGATTTGGAGTATTGCGTTTCTCCTGTGCTGATTGTGTTCTGTTTCTTTTAAGTCCTTAGAAAACTTAAGCAGATTTAATTTTTTGATTTTAAAGTTTTTGCTGTTCTCTCCTTCCACAGGGATTTTGCTGTAGGAATCTGTAACAAAATCAGTGAAATGATTCAAGGTATGTATGCTTCATTTAGTATTATGAAGTGACTTAATGGGATTTATATTAATAATAGCTGCTAACATTTATTAAGTACTTCCTATGTGCTGGTCACTATTCATTCATTTGTTCATTCAGATAATATTTACTAAGCATCTTGTAAATGCCAGAACTATTCTAGGTGTTTAGAGTACGGTAGAGAACAAAACAAAGTCCTTGCCCTTGTGTAACCTACGTTCTAGTGGCAGAACAAGGGGAATGACAATAGACAAATGAAAATATGACATATCAGGTGCTATGGAGGAAAAGTGAGATAAGAAGGATAGAGTCCTCAGAGTAGATGGCAGGGTGGAAGGGGGTACTTCTCTATTTTATATATGTTGCTCAAAGAAGGCGTCTGATGAAGTGATATTTGAGTGAGAAAGGCAGATACTTAGGGGAAGAACATTCTGATCTGGGGCTCTCTCTTCACTCTTCTAATGTCCCTCCAGTGTCTTCCAGTTGCAACTAAAATCAAATCCAAATTCCTTACCGTATCCTACAAAGCCCTAGTTTTCTAGTCTCCTCTTCCATGCTATGCTTCATGTTATTAACCCCATTTACCCTCATAATATTCATAAAAGGGAACTCTACGGCTACAGTATTGCACAACTGTAGAGAGCACTACTTTCTTTATATTTTTCTAAATGGTATTTCTTTAAATTGTGCAACTTGGCAGACTTGGCAGGTAATACTGTTATGTCTATTTTACAGAAAAAGAAATGGAGCCAGAATAGAATCACTTAATTGAAGACCAAGATACAGTGCTTGAGATTTGTCCTGTTCCCCTTCATTCCTTTGTCTTCTTTTCCCACCACCAGAAAAGGGCTATCCTACAGAAAGCTATCATTAGAAGGAAGCATCAGTCATTCACTGAGCAGGTTTTTATTGAATGCCCGCTGTATCAGACAAGATCTCAGCAGAAAACAGATGTCATACTTGAATTAAGATAATCCAAGGAGAGTTTAATGAAGGAGCCATTTATGAAGGTGTGGGCACGATAAGCTATAGGAGATAATGTAGTGCTGTACCCCTCTAGGGTGCAGGGGAATGAGTGGTACCAGAAACCTGGAGTCATGTCAAGAGGGCCACTTGGGAAAATTGACCTTCAGTGTGATGTGGCTTGATGTGACCCTACAGAGAGAGAGAACCAGGGAATGAATACTCTGACCTCATTCTTCTCCCTCCCATCTCCTACTGGGGCTCCCACTGGCTAAACCCAAACAGGGCAAATAGCAGGGGAGTTGATGTAAGCTATACAGGTGAGCCTCCTAGGATGCTGGAGTATTCTTTTATCAAGATGATGGGTATATTCATATGTAGAAATCCATTAATATGCGCACTTAAGATCCATTATTGTTCCTTACATTTAATCTATGAAAAAATTAAAGCAAAAGAACAGGAATTAGAAAGTTGAAAGAAAGAAGGAAAGAAAAGCACAAGGGTGGGAGTGGGGGCAAGGCAGAGAAAGATGGGAGCCCAGCATAGATAAGTGGCAGAGGAGTTTTAGGAATAAAGTATCCTTACATTTAATTTTAAACTGCTTGTGTTTTTGCGAAGTAAGATTTCTGAGTCTCCCTAAACCTTCGGTAAAGATATCTATAAACACAGACAAAGAATCCCTCTGACTACTTGGTTGAGAAGAGACTTGCAGAGAAGGGGGTAGGGGGATATGAGATAGGAGTCTTCCATGGGGAAAGGCCTAAGTAGGGAGAATACTTTTGCAATAATCCCGTCAAGAGGTGGTGGTGGAAATGGACCAGTGTGGTAGCAATGGAGTTGGAAAGACATAGTCAGATTTGGGTTATATTTTGAAGATAGAACCAAGAAGATTTGCTAATAAATTTGAATGTGGGTTTTGAGAAATAAAGGAATCAAGAAAGACTCCAAGGTCTGAGGAGCTGTAATGATAGAGTTGTCATATACTGAAATGGGAAAAATTTTGGAGGGCTAATTTCATGGTGAAGATCAGAAGTTCTCTTTGGGCCCTATTAAGTACAGAATGCTCTGAGATATCCCATTGGAGATAACCAGTAGGTAATGGGATATATGTAGCTGAAGTTGGGAGGGGTGGGAGGCAGTCTTCAGCGTATAGCTGATAGTGGAAGCCACGGGATTATAGCAGCTCGCTCAGGGAAAGTACATTGGGTGAGAAGAGAATTTGTTACCAACCCCAAGGAATAACAGAAATTAAGGTACAGATAAAAGAGGAGAATACAAAGAGGTTGAGAAGGAACAGCCAGAGAAAGGACAAAAAACAGGAAGAGTGTGAAAAAGCTGAAGCCATTGAGAGAGACTTTCAAAGACAGAATGGTCTGCAGTGTCAAATGTATTCGGTACCTTAAGGATTGAAATGATAATAACGTAAGCATGATATGACCCTGCAGACAGAAATCCCAGGGAGTAAATAGTCTGACCTCACTCTTCTCCCTCTCCATTTCCTGGGGGTCTCTGCTTTGACCAAACCCAAATGAAGGCCAGCTGGCAAGGGAGTTTGTTGATGTAAGCCACCGCTGGAAGTTGTAATGCTATCATATATTCACACTAACAGTTATTTCACAATGGGAAAACCACTGATCTTCGGAGTATAAATTAGCTTTTGGCATATATGCAGTACATTATGATTGACAATTTTTTGTTCTTTATCACTGCAAAGCCATGCTGTAGAAGAGAAGATTTTTTTTGCTTTTTAGCTCCAATGTTGAAGGAAAAGATGCATTGGAGTGAATCTTCATGGGATTCCAGCTGCAGTAAAGAAAGGCATGGCTACACAAAGTTTGGAGAACTTCAAAAGCACTCCACATACAGTCTTTTCACATCCTGATCTTGACTTAGTATTGAAGGAAATAATTAAAATTGCAGATATAATCAAATTGTAGCTATTGAGTGTATGTGTATATGTATATCTTTTTGGTATGCTGTGCGAAGACATAGGCAGCAAATACGACTTTGCTTTCTCTTTCACTTTAAGGGCATTTTCTACTATAAGCATGTAGTTTTATAATTACTGAAAAATTAATGTTATGATAAATACTTCTGGAAAAAAACTATTGAACTTATTGATTAGCTTTAGTATAAGTATCTTTAATGTTATGAGCATAGTGTTAGTATACTATTTGTTTTTAAATGGCCGTTTTGCTAATTGAATCATACCTTTTAAATGTGAAGTACTATAAAGGATGGTAATCAGAAGTCTCTAAGAATTCTTTCTGTATCTAGGTTTAGCCACACCAGTAGACTTGAAGCTGAAGTTGATCCCCATCCTACAGCACATGCACCATGATGCGATCCTGGCGTCCAGTGCTCGTCAGCTTTTACAACAGCTAGTCACGTCCTATCCTTCCACCAAAATGGTGATCGTTTCTTTGCACACTTTTACTCTGCTTGCAGCTTCATCTTTGGTTGATACACCTAAGCAGGTAATTTCAGTTTTCTTTAAACTGCCTTTTCTTCAGTAAACTTGCCTATTAGTTATATGCTAACAAATAAGTAAGTAATCCATGCGTTTTGATAATATTAAAGTCTCTTTCTCTGATAAAGATCAGTTTAATTTCCTTTTGCTTGCTTTTTCCTTCTCTATATTCATAGTACTGATTTTTGGGAGCCCTTGAGGAAAATGAGGTGGGGGTGAGGTACATGGCAGAGCATGGAGTTGGCAGTAAAGAAAAGAAAGAATCGAATGTTAAAGGCCAGGCCCTATGCTGGAACCTTACAAATTAAATGATAGTGTATTTTTATACACGAGGAGAAAGAGGTCCAAACATGGGCGCATAGCTGATGAATGACAGGGCTGTTATTTGAAACGAGCCCTGTCTCAAATCTAAAAGTTTCACTATACCACACTGCATCCCTAATGATAATTTCAGTGACAGGATTGTTCATGGAGTGACTTATTTCCTTTATAGATTCAGCTTCTATTGCAGTATTTGAAGAATGACCCCAGGAAAGCAGTAAAGAGACTTGCTATTCAAGATCTGAAATTACTTGCCAATAAAACACCACATACTTGGAGTAGGGAAAACATTCAGGTATGTAGAACTTTGAACATTAATATTTCGTATAGAAAAATAATATGATTGTAATAGAGTAGTTTTGCTGTACATTTTAATATCATCTTTGTCATCTTCTAAGTGTTTGAATATGAAAAATTTCTAAGAGCGTTGTCGATATTTGTGGCAGAAGTTATTTTATAAGTGGCAAAGTAAATACATAAAACTTCTATGGTTTAAGTTTGTTTTAGTGAATTACCCTTGTCTTTCAATATCTTGTTAATTTTCCCATAGCAGCACTAAGGATAATTGAAAAGCCCAGTTAAATTAGTTATTTTATTTCTGTCTCCTTTACTCAATTTAGGGAGAACAATTTTGATGCTATGATTTATTAGGGAGAAGGTGCTGGATGGGGTAACTTGACAAAGTATATTTCTCCTTTTCATGGAGAGGGAAAGACGTTTTTAAGTTTTCTTTTGTAAATGCGAGAGTAGATCTCGTCTGTCTCTAGACTTTTACTGTGACATCTTTTATAGCATTTCTGAGGTTAAATTAATATTTTATATTTATTTTTTCTCAAAATGGAACCCTATTTGTTTACCCATTACTGATAACAGATGTACCATTTTCCAAAAAAATGCTGTTTAAAGTGAAGTGGCAGATTATTAGAATTCAACCTTTGTTTTCATGGATTTTTTTTATCTCTCAGTATCGTCATAGCTACAGTATAACAAAAACCTTTGAATTTCAGATTATGGAAAGTAGGCTGCTTTGTTAGTTTTTTGTTTGTTTGCAATTTTTAAACATTTCAATGTGTTATGACTGTTTAGTCACAAATACCCCAAGAGATAAGGGTAATTCTTACTATTTGCATTTAGCAGGTGAGCAAATTAGGGTTCAGAGAGACTTAATATGCTTAAGAGAGCTTCTTGAGAGGACTTAATTAAGAATTTAATTAAGAGAGCTCTGTCCTCTAGTGCTTTTTCTACTAAACAGTATTGTCTTTCCAAGAAGAGAATGTGCTTAGTCACTTTAGGGAACCAAACCCAGTGAGAGCACTGTATTATTTCTTCTCATTTTTTTCCTTCGTGTGAGATAGATCACACATACGGAAAAGTATGTAAAAAGGAAATTTAATAGTTTAAATAATAATTGTAAGTGAAAATCCATGTAGCCACCATCTAGCTAGAAATGGAACACTGTAGGATCACAGAATCCTGCCTCCTTCCCTCGTGCAGTCCTTCTTGATCAGAACCTTAACACCTATCCAAAGGAAACGACTATTGATTTTTGTGATAATCATTTCTGTGTTCTTTATAGTTTTACCATCTATATATGGCTGCCTAAAAAATATTGTTTAGTTTTATTTGTTTTTACTTCTTTTGCTCGACATTCTACTGGCAAGAGTCATCCATGTGGTTGCATATTTTTTCCCTTTAATTGCTATGTAGTATTCCATTATATGGATGGACCACAGTTTATTTGCTCTTGATGGGTTATTTCCAGCATGGGGCTCTTGCAAACAATGCTGCCATGAGCATTCTTCTATGTGTCTCCTGGTGCACGTGTGCAAGAATTTCTTTAGAGTGTATACCTAAGAGTGAAATTGCTGACTTACAGAATATGTATATCTTCAACTTTACCAGATAATGTCAATTTGTTTTCCAAAATGATTGAAGCGATTTACATTCCTAACAGCAGTGTAGAGGAGTGTCCATTGATCCACATCCTTGTCAACACATGGAACTATCAGACTTTTGCATTTTTACCAGTTTAGAAGTTGTAGTTTTTTGTTTTTTGTGGGGTTTTTTTGATGAGGAACATTGGCCCTGAGCTAACATCCATCGCCAATCTTCCTCTTTTTGCTTGAAGAAGATTTTCCCTGAGCTAACATCTGTGCCAGTCTTCCTCCACTTTTTTGTATATGGGACACCGCCGCAGCATGGCTTGATGAGCAGTGTGTAGGTCCATGCCCGGGATCTGCCCAGGAACCCCGGGCTGCCAAAACAGAGCACGGGAACTTAACCACTATGCCACTGGGCCAGCCCCTAGAAGTTGTAGTTTTAATTTGTAATTTCTTGATTACCAAAGAAGTTGAACATCTTTTTTTGTTTGTTTGTTTTGTTTTTTGGTGAGGAGGACTAACCCTGAGCTAACATCCGATGCCAATCCTCCCCTCTTTTTTTGAGGAAAATTGGCCCTGAGCTAACATCCATGCCCATCTTCCTCTACTTTATATGGGACACCGCCACAGCATGGTGTAACAAGCGAGGCATCAGTGCGCTCCCGGGATCCGAACCTGCAAACCCCGGGCTGCTGAAGCGGAGCGCGCACACTTAACCGCTAACGCCACTGGGCCAGCCCCTGAATATCTTTTTTTTTAATTTTAATTCTTTCTTTCTTTCTTTCTCTTTTTTTTTTTGAGGGAGGTTGGCCCTGTGCTAACATCTGTTTCCAATCTTCCTCTTTTTTCTTTTTTCTCCCCAAAGCCCCAGTACATAGTTGTGTATCATAGTTGTAGAGTTGTAGCTGTTCTATATGGGACGCCACCTCAGCTTGGCTTCATGAGTGGTAAGTAGGTCCGTGCCCAGGATCTGAACCGGTGAACAGTGGGCCACCAAAACAGAACGCACAAACTTAACCGCTGTGCCCGGGCCAGCCCTGGACATCTTTTTAATATGTTTATTAACCATTTCGATTTCCTCTTTTGTGACATGACTATTCAAGTCTCTTGCTTATTTTTCTGTTGATTTGTAGTCATTCTTTATATATTCTGGGTACCCGTACTTTATTGGTCTTTGGCAATTTTGAATACATTTCAGAAGCAGCTGGTAAAGTTCCACTTAAAAAAAAAGTTGATAATTTGATTGGGATTGCATTTAGTAGAAAGATCAATTTGTAAGAAATTGATGTCTTTGCAATGTTAAGTCTTCTAATGCATGAATATGTTATATATTTCCATTTATTTAGTTCTCTTTAATGTATCTTTTGCGTAAGTCTATTTTGTCTGATATTAATATAGCTACTTAGCTTTCTCCTAGATGTATTTACATGGCAGATTGTTTGCCTTCTTTTTACTTCCAGTCTTTATGTTTCAGATATGTCTTATGTTAATTCTGCTACTAAGATCTTAGAGCACATTTTAACTCCATTTACATCTCTCTAAACTATTATATATTGTTGTAATGTGTCTTAATTCTATCTTTTCTTATCAAACAGTTCTGTTATTGTTTTATAAACTCAGTGATCATTTGGATCTTCCACTGCCTTTGCTCTTCTTTTTTTTTTTTTTAAAGATTTTATTTATTTATTTTTCCCCCAAAGCCCCAGTACATAGTTGTCTATCATAGCTGCACATCCTTCTAGTTGCTGTATGTGGGACGCGGCCTCAGCATGGCTGGAGGAGTGGTGCCTCGGTGCGCACCCGGGATCCGAACCCGGGCCGCCGGCAGCGGAGCGCACGCACTTAACCGCTAAGCCACGGGGCCGGCCCCACCTTTGCTCTTCTTGAATCTCAAACTTTCTCTCTGGAATACTTTTCCTTCTGCCTTTGGAAAGTCCTTTAGTGAGGGTCTGTATGGTGAATTCTCCCAATATTTGTTTGCCTGAAAATGTCTTCATTTTACCCTCAGTGTTGAAAGATACTTTCTCTAGGAATAGAATGCCAAGGCATTGAGGATACCATTCTGCTGTCTACTGATTTCCATTATTACTGCTGAGGAGTAGCAGTACTCTTTGAAGGAATTTTTTTTTTCCTGCTTTTAAATTTTTCTCTTTAATTTGGTCATCTGCATTTTCACTATGAAATGTCTGGTTGTGGATTTCTTCTGTTTAAACTATCTAGATTATTGATTTTTTTGAATCATAAGATTGGTGTCTTTCAGTAGTTCTGGAAAAGTGTCAGCCATAATTCCTTCAGATATTGCCAGTCTCGCTCACCTTTCCTTCTGGATCTCCAATTAAATATATGTTAGCCCTTCCATTAATCCTCTATGTTCCTTATCTTTTTATTTTCCATCTCTTTATCTCTTTGTGCTGTGTTCTGAATGATTTCTCCTGATATATGTTTTAATTCAATAGTTATCTCTCCAGCTTATCTAAGTCTTTTCAGATCTGTCTCTGCTGTCTATTTCTATTTGTTCTCTAATGTTGTACCCTTTTCCTTGTGTACTTGGCTGTTTTTTACCTTGAAGTACTCATTTTCCTTGGAAAAGTACGTGTGGGAATTCTTTATGGCCCAGAATGGTCTACACAGAAATCAAAATATAATGATGTACACTTGAAATTTATGTAATATAAACTAATGTTACCTCAATAAAAAAATTAAAAAGCCCAGAATGACAGTGCATTCCTCTGGAGAAGATTTGCATTTGCTTCTGTTAGGTAGAGGGGTCAGATAGTGATATGTGCTGTGGGAAAAAATCAAGTCAGGTGAGAGGATTAGTGAGTGTGGGAGATGGAGGTTGCAATTTTAAATAGGGTGGTCAGGGGAGCCCTCATTAAGAAGTTGACATTTGAGCAGGGCCTGATGGAGGGAATGCCAGCTTCATGGGCCCCTGAAGGAAGAGTGTTACCAGCAGAGAGAACAGCAGGAAAGGCCCTGCGGTGAGAGCATTCATGATTGTGAGGTCAACGTGACTGTAAATAAGGGGAGGTGAGTAGGAGATACTGTTAGACAGATGGTTGGATGGGAGGAGCAGGTCATTTAGAGCCTTTGAGTCCTTTGTAAGTAAGGACTTCTGTTTTTTATTCTGCGTGACGTGAATTGCCATTGGAAGATTTCGAGCAGAGAATATTATCTTTTTTTTTTTAATTGAAATATATTTGACATATAACATTGTATAAATTTAAAGTGTACAACATGTTAATTTGATACATTTATATATTGTAATATGATTGCCATTGTAGTGCTAATTAGCACTTGTATCACGTTATGTAATTATTGTTTCTTTTTACTGGTTGGAATAATCACATTCTAGTCTCTTAGCAAGTTTGATGATTATAATACAATATTGTTGTCTATGTTCACTATACTGTGC